TTTATCATGTATATATAAATACACACACATTTGTGTATATATTTAAGACAAATATGTTATGTTTATATATTAAATATATATAATATAAATCACATGAATATAAAAATATGTAAATACATGTAAATATTTTCAAAATATATACTGTATGTGTGTGTGTTTATATATACATAACAAATATACACACATTATGCAAACAAAAACTTATTTTGGATGCAATTAATCACGATTAATCTTTTGACAGCACTAATATATATATATATAGTTTTTAATGTACTGTTTCTATGATTTAAAACAACTTTCTGCACTATAGTTTTATATTCATCATTTGTTTTGTACAGTGGAAAAGTCTGTAATATATTAATGAGAACAAAGATAGAGAAGGAAAAAAAAAAAACTTGGGAAAGATTTATAAACATTACGAGAATGTGAGCTTAATTTCCCCAAAGAAAAATGTTTGTCAGTCAATCAGTCCATCCATCCATCAATCAATCTTCACAATACTGTAGTAATCAACTTTATTTCAAATTAAATTGTTTGAAATGTAACCTAGATATGTTTTTGTAATAGTCACAAAATGTTGGTGTTAGTTAAATATGATTAATTACAAAGTAAAATCCAGCTTCACACACACCTTTTTGTCAATGTTGTATCTGCTGAAGACCTCCTCTGCTCTCTCCTCGCCTCCATCAGTAAACAGCATTATGATCTTGTTGCAGTTTGCTCTGGTGATGTTTGGCTGAAATAAGCACAATCAAATGCAGTTACACAGAACGACCAGCAGAAGTCAGCAGAACACAACAATACTACTTTTAACCTTTTGGTAAACAAATATTACTAAGCAGAAGTGATGCCAGGATTTCAGCCTCCTACTTGTGGCTTAAGTAGAATATTTCTTGCCTTAAGTCAAGCTTGTTATGATTGAATCCATCAGTGACTGAAGGGAAAGATCATATTTAAACTGTACTTCTCAGACTTTACAGTATTTTAACATCAGGTAAAAAGAGGATGCAGAGTGAATTAAGCTTATACATTATTACAGACATTCTTTTCAGCCAACATGAAGAGAAATCACACAAAGTGAAGATTTTAAGGCTGCTGGGGACTGAGACGAAAGACAATACGTTTATAGATACATTTTCAATATAAAATCTCCCAAAAACTCATACATTTGACAGCTGATTGAAGGCAAATTCGAAGCCTTTGGTGTAGTTGGTGATGCCCTTGGCTGTGATGTTCTGCACTGCATCTTTTAAGATCTTCTTATTGCGAACGTTAGCTTGAACCAGGTGGTCGAAACATGCTGTGTTATTCACTTTTGTGTTAAACTGAAAAAGAGGAGAGAGAGGCATACAGTAAGTGAAAAATCATTGGACTTCTCATTGTTCATTCACAGGAATCACAGCAAGACTTTTTTAGAATCACAACAAAAGCGTGTGTGACTTAAAAGATCTCTATACTGGGGTCAGAATCTCTGCAGGTGTTTGAGTATGCGCATGTGTTGTGGTACAGTGATGAAAAGAATTTGAGCTGACAAGCTGGATACCCTTACAAGTTTCTAATTTTCTGTTCAGATAGGGCTCTCTGTGTTCTGTCACTTATTGCGGCTGACCCCTGTGAACCTGTTACTTCAAAGCTTGAGAGATTGAGAACAAGAAAATAGACTTGGGTAGAGGAAGGAAAGAGGAAAAAAAAGGGAGAATGAATGTGGGAGGAAAAAGAAGGAAAAATAGTATACTGCAGACTCTAATAGTCCACAAACAAGGTAAAAAATCTTAAAAATGAAGTCGCTTAAAATCTATACTATATGAGCAATTTTATTTTCTATTTATTTTAATGAATTTATTTTAAAATAATCAAATTTAAATAGCTATAGGTATATAATAGATGTACCCCAAAACAAAACAAAACATAGGGGGTAGTCAGGGACCAAATGTTATTTAATTTAGCTATTAATAAACATTTTTCCAATAAAAAAATGTTAGTTAGTTGAGAGAGAAATAATAAAGACAACAAAATAATAATAAAAAAATGTATTTGGCAAAACATTTAACTTTTTTAGTTTTTTTACTCAAATTTAATTGAATACCAATTCTACAGATTATATCAAAATCAGGAAACAGTTTTAAATTGATGGATATATTCAAGAAGCTAAAAATCTCTGAGAAGAGTAATGCCCAAATCGTCCTTTTTTAATTAGTTATTGATAAACATATTTCTAATAAACGAAAAAATAAATTGGTTGTGAGAGTGAAACATCAAATACTAAATAATAGTTTTGGTCAATTAAAATGATTTTTTTTTTATAATAAAAATATATATTGTATATAATATTGTAATTTAACTGAATATTAATTCTAAATTTTATTTCAAAATGATGACACTATTTTCAGTGGACTAGATATACTGGATATATTGTGTGTGTATATATATATATATATATATATATATATATATATATATATATATATAGGTTGTTTTCTGTGCTGACTTATTCTGACCATAAAATAATAAAAACCATAAAATAATAAATCAAGTTTTTGGCAATTAAAACTATAGTTTCACCATTTTAAAGGGGGGAAAAAGACACAGCCTGTGTTTAAAACTAGTTACATTTCATGCTAGGATAATTTTAAGTTAGTTAATAGTTTATTTAATACACCAAACAGTTCTTTCTACAAAAAAAGGTTCCTCTGATGCTTAATTGGACACCAATTTGTACCTTACCCAGGGACGGCGCCTCCTATAACCCCAACAATGGGAAAAGTCAGAATGATTAACAGGTGCGAGTCAATTACGGCACCATTACAGCTAATGGGGTGGTATGTGCAAGCTCATGCAAAAATTAAAATGATTACTATATCTCCAGCTCTCCCTGAGGACATGCGAAAGCACACGGTGCACGTCCTGTGGCAAGTGCAAGCAGAACACACCTTCAAACCTCCCGTGTTTACCATAGTGCAGCTTTTCATCTATTTTTCATGATCCAGTGCTTATTTTTCCATTCATGTCGACTCAAAAGGCTTCCCGACTTTGAATTTCTGGCCGGACACTGAGAGACGTGTGCTTGATTAGGACACATGCGCCAGTCATTGATGTATCTGTGGGATCAGGTGTCTGTGCTCTGTTGAATGAGCTGGATGTCACAGTGTCTGCTGAATGAACCGATGAGTCACGGTTCGATTAGTCGCTCTAGCATTGACTGAATATTTAATTAATGCTCGGAATTATCGCCACGGAGGCCCCCGTGACTCACTGCTCTCAGCATATGGCAGGTTATAAATCGAGGAATAGGACACATTGATGATACACAGACCCCTCCCTACACACAGCAGACGGCGCGCACTCACGGTGTAGACGGCTTCGTTGATTATAACCAGAACGTTCTAGTTCTGTCGTGTCACGTCTCTCCCGAGAGGAACGTTTTATTGCTCGGGGGTTGCTCGTTCACAGCTCAGGGGAATTAAAAGAGTTTTCAATTATGCTTCAAGTATTCAAATTTCCTCAGTTGCTTCTTCGAAAAGTCCTATGGTGAAATAAAAATAGTAACAGTATTTATTGGGACCCCAATATGGAGCAGAAGGGTCTTGTATGACCCCAAAGGCATCTGTTGGAGTCAATAATGACCAGCTGACTGTGCATTGTCCCACCTAGAACTTGGATACTTACAAAAATAAAACAATTTTTTATTTTAATTTCATTTTTTTCATTTAGATTTTTTTTTCCTATCTAATTTGGTGTTGACTAATTTGATGTAAAAGCGATTGTAAATCTCTCATCATGCTATATTATCAGCAAATCTCAGATTCAATCTTTTTGTCAACTTGTTTTCATTCCATTAAAGGCACAATATGTAAGATTTTTGTATTAAAATATCCAAAAACCACTAAAACAGTGTTTCAGAGTATTTTGCTGACTTGTGTACTTACATTACCCCAAATGTTTCGAAGAATGTTTAAATCCAGAGAAATAAGCAATTTTAACTAGTGACACGGACCGTGTCCATGGTGTCATTGTGTCGCCTGCCAATGACGTCATAACCCCTCGATTTCCGGTTTTGTTTTGTAGAAAACATGGAAACACCAAAGACGCTTTAATATGTTGTGCGTTTTAATAGACCGGTGACGACCGCACGGAGTAGCATTATAACAGAACTTTCAAATGTATCTAGTATGATAAAACAGCGCTGCTTTTTTTTCCCCACATACATACGACCGGAAGGAGCGGAAGCGGTCGACTGTGGCATAATAAAATTAAATTAAGGGTAAAAATATGCACATCATTAAGGGTAAAAATATTTCCTCTGATAACAATTTGTTTCAATTTTAACTGTTTGATATTTTAAATTTCAAACAAAAATATTTCAGTATAAATATAAATAAAATATTTTAATTCAGGACTATGCAGAATAAATGCATATTACTCACAAAATTAAATCAATATTTTATTTTAATTTATTAAGCAGCCATTTAATAAGCATAACAATTAAAAAAAAATCACATTTCATGATGCATTGCATTGTATATTAAATAATTGTAATTTAATTGTATTATTATCAGAGCAAATATTTACAATCTTAACTATGATGCATAATCCCAAGCTAAAATATTTGTAATTTATATTTATATTAAAATACTGAAATATTATGCCACAATCAAGGCAGGTGATACATTTCACACTCTTTTTTCTTCTCACAAATATTTAAAACAAGTTCAACTTAAATAGTAAATTAAAATAAAATATTGATTTTATTTTGTTTTTAAATTGAAATGATTTTAATATGTGAGAAGAAAGAGAGCATGGAGTGATACAAATTATTATACAAAAATAAATAGGCGAACACTGTGCATTATCAACCAGAATCAAGTATTCCAGACCACAGTGGAAATAAACAGCTATTAAATGAACTGACTTGATATGCTGGAAAATGCAAAAAAAAAAAAAAACGGTATGAGACATGATTGAAATCTCTTTTGAAACCTTAGAAGAGACACGCATGAGTATTTTTCTTAAAAAGACAATTCTGAGAAGCAGAAGCAAAAGTCTTCATTTAGTCTCACTGCTGTATAGGAGAAACAATTAAGATATTAAAGAGATTCCAAAAGCATACATTTGGCGAAAATTACATATTGTGCCTTTAACACTTTTTAAAAAAAACTGATTATTCATAGGCCTTGTTAATCTGAGTTTCTGCACCTCAGTTTTTGAGTGAAATAAGCATTGTTTGTGGATAATTTTGACGAAGTTCACTCAAAAACTGAGGCGCAGAAGCTCAGAACAATGAGGACAAATTTATGAGCAACTTTTTGTAGGCCGTTTTTTTTTTTTGACCGCCGGGAACGCCAAAAGCGTAACAAGGTTTTTCAGGTTTTAATCCAATTTAATAACATTAACTAGCATTTACAGTAAAATAAATATCCACTTTGGGTCAAAATGACCAGAACACTTTTTAACAAAACGTTTGAACAAAATTATGTTATTATAATTATCATTTAATTATTATTAAATAATTATATAAATAAATAAACAAACCAGACACACACACATATACATATATATATATATATA